CTATGAAGGCAAGTCCTAGGTCTCATTCCTGTTTTGATTCCCAGCACCTAGCACAAAGCCAGATACATACTTGTAGTCTTTAAACTTTTCGTAAATGAATGTGTGCTGTTACATGGCCATATTATTCAGCCTTTACGCCAGCCCTGTGGAAGACATTTACATTATTGTCAATTTACAGAAGTAGAAACTGTAGCTCAGAGATATTTCCAAAGTTAGTGTTTAACCAAGTCTCCAACTTCAACTTCTGTGCTTTTTTTCAATGACACACTGTAGTCAGTACATGGAGAAAAGGTGGACTATGTCATTTTCTCTCCAATATTATATCCCCTTCTCTTGATAACCATCACTGTTGTTATTCTGGTATCTACACTTCCCCTACTTGGCCCACATATTGGGGAAAGCTAATTCCACCCCTGGCTCTGGATCCACCTAAACTAATCTGCATAATTCCACCTCCTGGCCACAGTCAGTTATTGGTTCAAAGGTGGGCACGTGACCTAGTTTGGGCCAAGAAGACAAGTGAAGAGATATTCTGGGTGCCTCTGGGAGATAAGCATGTTTGCACTACTGATATACGTCCAGGAAGGAGTTCTACTGGTTCCAGAAGGTGTATAAAATTAAACAGCCTTAAAATAAGGTAATGGTGGTAGAGAAGAGAGTTAGAAAGTCTGACCTTTGAATCAAACTAACCCTAAAGTTGGTATTAGCCAATGAATCCCCTTTATAGTTTAAGATCGTTTGAGTTGGGTTTTCTGTAACTTGAACTGAAGGTATCATAAAGGATACAAGAGGAAAGGAGGGCAAAGGAAAGGAAGGAAAACTAGGGAGACTCAAGATATAATTGACCTATATAAAAGATGTAAATATATACTAAAGATATTTAGGAACATTCTGAATAATTCAAGAGGCCATTGAGATAAACTCAGGAAAGACTGACAAAACAAACTGTATGACCATATGTATATTCTCAGCCTTGCCCCTCAATCCCCCAACCTACCAACGAAGGGGAATTTTGCCTTCACCTTCTCATCTGCAAGTTGTCTTCAACCTGGCTCCCCAGCTTCTGTCATACAGAATTGAGAGAAAGGACTGAAGAGGCAGGTGGGAAGGGGAAAGCTGGGTATCGGGTTTGCATTGAGTAGGGAGGAAGGGATTGAGGGAGAAACTCCAGAGCACCAGTGGGGAATAAGAGAATGGGTATGGAGAAGAGGATATTAAGAAGAGTTTCTGTGACTTATGGAGACTGTCAGGCGATACAACAACTCAGTGCAATATATGATTCTGGACTGGATCCATTTGCCATAGCAGGCATCATTGTGACAAGTGATTAAAATTGAATGGAGATCTGAGGATTAGATGGTAATAAAGTATCAATGTTAAATTCCTGGTTTTGATGGTTGCTTTGTTAGTTTGCAGGAGAATGTACCTGTAGGATGTTAGCAACTTACTCTCAAATGGAAAAAAAATTTTTTGCACTGTATCTGCAACTTCTCTGTAAGTTTGAGATTTCTGTAAATTTGAGTTTTCAAAATTAAAAAAAATATGGCATTAATAAAAATTTTTAAGAGGTACAAGTCAAGGTTAGTGTTATCTCTCCTTTTTTTTTTTTTTTTTTGTGAGGAAGATCACCCCTGAGCTAACATCTGTGCTAATCCTCCTCTTTTTTGCTGAGGAAGACCAGCTCTGAGCTAACATCTATTGCCAATCCGCCTCCTTTTTTCTTTTCCCCTCCAAAGCCCCAGTAGATAGTTGTATGTCATAGTTGCACATCCTTCTAGTTGCTGTATGTGGGATGCGGCCTCAGCATGGCCAGAAAAGTGGTGCATCGGTGCGCGCCCTGGATCCGAACCAGGGCTGCCAGTAGCGGAGCGCGTGCACTTAACCGCTAAGCCACTGGGCTGGCCCTTAGTATTATCTCTTAATTATTTTTGGTTGCTGGTACTTCTTTGTATGAGTTGCTATTCAAAAAGTAGGTCCTAAGATTTACTTAGTTGTAGCCAGTTGATTCTAAATAATAATAGTATTGTGTGCAAAAAAGGGAGTCAGAGAGCAAAAAATTGTCAGTATGTGCTCAGTATAGTTAGGAGCTTTCTGAAAAGAGGTTAGAGAGAGGAGAGAGGAAGTCTTTGCTGACCAGATGACCAAAGTATTCTGGATTTAATCCATGTTTATTAAACAACTCTCTGGTTACAACTTGATTTTCCAGCTGTTGCAATTTTTGCAGCAATTCTATTCTTATTGTAAATAAATAAATTAGCAAGTTGCTTTGTTTGTTTCTTATTAGCATGAGGAGTCTGTCCCCCTGAATCTGCTCACCTGTGAGTACACTTGAAAAGTCAATTCTAGACCAACATGATACCATGGAGATAACAACTCTGTAAAACCCTGTCTGATGGCCTGCTGGCTTCTGTCATTGCCACCTCTAGATCAATCTTCCTCTCTGTTATCAACCAGAGTTCTTACTCTTCAGGAATGTGCTCTCAAGTTAAAGCATCCAAAAATTTAAGCCTGGGGGAAGTAGTTTCACAAGATTTTCTTCAGTTTTCTTTGTATTTTTTGGTATAGTGTGGTTGTATTAGATATATATTTCCTGCCTCTCATCAGTTAGTAGTTCAAGGAAATAAACTTGAGTGAGACTAAGGTTAGTGTCTTGGCTTTATGGAAGTTTTCCTTTTAATTTTTTAAATTTCATGTAGTAAAACCCTCTGGGGTGGGATCCAATTCTATTCAATTAGCTTTAGAGAGGACACAGAACATACTATGTTCAAGAACATTTAATAAATCCCGCTTTTTTACTGATTCAGTCTGTGCCTAAATCCTCCTATTCCCTTGAACCACTTGACAATCTTATCTCTTGCTTTCACTGTCAAACCTCTGTAAAGGCCCACATCCTAATTCAAGCCTCTGTCATATCATACCTGGACTAATGCCATATGGTTTTTCCTTATTTACCCCCCTCCTATGTGTATTCATTTCACTGAACAAATATTTATTGAGAATATTTATTGACAATATATGTTACTCTATGCCATGCCCTACTTATTTTTTTGCTGAGGAAGATTCACCCTGAGCTAACATCTGTGCCAATCTCCCTCTACTTTATATGAGGGTCGCCTCCACAGCATGGCTGGTGAGTGGATTAGGTCTGCACCTGGAATCCAAACCTGCGAACCTGGGCTGCCAAAGGGGAGTGTGCAGAACTTGAACCACTGGGCCACGGGGCAGGCCCTCCTACCTTATCTTAAGACAGACTCAAGTCCCACCTCTCTCATTTATCTTCTTTTTTTTTTTTTTTATAATTTTATTTATTTTTCTCCCGAAGCCCCAGTAGATAGTTGTATGTCATAGCTGCACATCCTTCTAGTTGCTGTATGTGGGACATGGCCTCAGCATGGCCAGACAAGCGGTGCGTCGGTGCACGCCCGGGATCCGAACCGGGGCCACCAGCAGTGGAGCACGCATATTTAACCGCTAAGCCACCGGCTGGCCCTCTCATTTATCTTCTTAAAACACTGTTTTGCAAATGTCACTGCACGTGCAAAAACCTTTAATGTCTATTCATTAAAGTCAAAGCTTCTTAACTTGAACTGCATGGCCCTTACTCTTAACTTCATCTCGCAATATATTATTCAGTCCTACCTCTCCAGTCAAAGTGATTAGGTTCCTTCTTTCTTAAACAATCCACTTAATGTTCCATCTCCAAGTCCTTATACCCTTCCCCACTTAGTTTTGTCCTACCCATGGTGCGTTCCCTCACTCCTTTTTGTTTAGTTAATAATACCTTGATTCAGTCAGCAGATATTTACAGAGTATTTACTAAGAGCCTGGCTACCTTATCTTCAGGATAAAGCTAATTTCCCATTTTCTCTAGAAGGGCTTCCTTTTCTAAACTTTTCTAGTTCCAAGTGTCATTTACTTAGCACAAAACAATGTGGTAGAAAGAGCTTTAGTCTGGTCCAGGAAAAGTGAGATCTAGCCTCTAGGCCAGATTCGTTGTGTAACCTTGAGCAAATCAGTTTGGCTCTGTTTCCTGGCTGAGGCAACTTTCAGCTCTAACATCCTTGGCCAGAGGTCAGCAAACTATGGCCCAGGGCCAAATCTGACCCACCACCTGTTTTTGTATGGCCCAGGGAAGAAGAATGACTTTTACCTTTTTAAATAGTTGAAAAAAGATGCAAAGAATATTTGCTGACACGCAAAAACGATGTGAAATTCAAATATGTGTCCATAAAGTTTTATTTGCACACGGTCATGCCCATTTACTATGTTGCTACAGAGACCTTATGGCCCGCCAAGCTCCAAATTTTTACTGTCTGGCCCTTACAGAAAAAGTTTGCTAACACCCGTCTTGAACTTCTGCCAGGATTGCTGCACCTACCGCTGGGCATTGCGTAGGCCTCCGTCTTGACTCCCTCATTAGACCTCGAGCTTCGGGGAGGTAGGGCCCTTGTCCTGATCACTCGGAGCGTGGTGCCTGGTTCATAGTAACCTCCTAAAATACCTGCCTCTGCAGGCTTGCTCCTTTACTAGGGAGGGAGGACAGTGACGACTTAGGAGACATCTGGGTTGAAATTCCGACGGCTTGAGCAAGTTGATTCCCCTCTCTGTCCCTCAGTTTCCTCCTCTGTGAAATGGAGAAGCAAGGAGGACTGGTAGTGGGGCTAGAATGAGCTAAGATGTGGGAAGCACTTCGCGAGGTGTAGTTATTAATCTTTCCCTGACTCCACGCGACTCCCGAGCAAGCCCTTCGGGCCAGACGCTGCGCGGGAACAGGGCCGAGGCTGCGGGCCTGCCGGGCGGGGGGCGCTGGCATCCGGACGCCCGTCTCGCGCTGCTGTCAATCAAGGCCGCCATGGGGCGGGGCGGGGCGGCGCTTCCGCCTGCCTGACGGGAC